TCGGATAGGTAATCGTTGATGGCTACGTATTCGTAGCTTCCCGCTAGTAAGCTTATGGTTTTGAACGTAACTCCGTTATCCGTCGATATTTTTAGTTGATTGTTTTTTTCGTTGATGTTTCTAATGGAATTGTAAACGGAGAAATACTTTAATCNCAGTTCGTACTGTTTATTGCGATCGAGTTCATACTCGTAGTCTAGAGACAATTTGATGTCTGATTTATTCGAGGTGATAACGAAAAATTGTTCTTTATTGGACATTTTTAATGACGTTTATATAGTCTTTTTTAGTGATGATTTTTTTCTCCAAAAGCCGTTTTAATATGCCATTGACTTCGTTGTATTGTCTGTCCGATCGATGACCTTCTTTCATGGCCGCTAATATTATTTCTAATCTATTAAGCAATTCTTTATTGTTGTCGGATAAAAACGTTATACCTTGTCCAGATGCCACCATATCATCGAATTCGTCTATTTCTTGTATGATTGGATAATCTTCCGCATAATCATCTACCTCCTCTTGCTCAATAACTTTTGTTATATATAAATCAACTTCTTGTTTCGTGTCCTGACTTTCCGATCGCTTGTAAAAATTTTGAGTATGCTACTAAATCCTTGTAATCGGCAATTTCAACATCCTCGCCATTCATTAAATCTATTAACCCTTTCGTTAATGTAAATATAAAGTTTTTTGTGTCGATTTTGAATTGTGGTGAATTTCCACTAAATCTTATTCTAAAACCATTAAACAATAACCCCACTTCATCAATGATTGGTGAAATGCTCTTTGGTAAATCTGGGTCAGGGTTTGAAAAAAGACGTTTTATATCATCTAATGTCCTAATTATAATACCATTATATTCAATCGGTTTGGGTTCTATATGAGGGTGGGTTCTATAACGAGTCTCTTTTTAATGTCTTCTTGACTTTTTAATATGGGTTGAAATAGAGTCTGTAGATTTTCCGTTAATCCGAGTTGTTGTAATCTGTTATTTTCAACTTGGGTCTTTATTTTATTCTTAGCTTTGATATATTCTCTATTTCTTTTTAAAAAATTATTCCAATCCGTCATTTTTAAAAAAATAAAATTAACATATATCGATCATAACTCTTTCTCCCGCAGGTTTTCTAGTATTTACAAATACATATCCATGATCATCTGGGTTTCTCTATTGAGCTTTACAAACCTTTTTAAATGTATCTCTATCCATTCCATGATTTATAGACTGAATGATTTGAGATAAATCTTTATCATTTAATTCAAATAATAAAAAACAATTTGCATTTTTTCTAATGAACATAGAATCCATCCCGTAAAAAGATTGGGATTGGTATATGCAGTGACAGTTGTGATGTCTTCCTTTGGTGAAGAATTCTTGTAGAACAGTTTGATTTCTTTGCGCTACGCAGTCGTCAAACAATATTAAGTTCTTTCGATTGCTATCAATATTAGACAAGTCTAGATCATTAACATTTTTCGTAAGAAAAACTTTTATATCCGTTGGATTGAAAGATGGATTCTTTGATTTAATGAAGTTTTCTATGATATCTTTTATTTCCACTTCTTCTTCGTTTTCTTCGTAATATTGAAATATGTCTTGAACATCTTTCTTTGGTAAATATTCTAAAGCTTTGAGGAATTGATAATACGATTGCTCTGGTGTTGTTGTGTAGATATACAGAGAATCGAAATCTAAAAGGTTTGGTGTTGTCAACATGTTAAAAGTGAGATGAGTTTTCCCAGAACCTGAACTACCGCAAATACACATGAGCATTGGGTTACTAGGAAA